ACGATGAATACCAGTAAGTTCCTCAAAGTGGAAACAAAGGTTTGTTGTATGGGTTTGACCGCTTAGAATTGTTTGATGGTGGCTGGCTTGCAATTTCTTTCTAGGATTGAAAAGGTTCATCCAGTCTTGAGGCCTTCACTTAGGATGTTTCAAAATGTTTGCTATTTTTATTAGCAATTATATTCAATAGTATAAGTTTAAGTGATCAGATAATGTTTATTTTTAATAGAATGGACCATGGCACTGTGGTTTGGTTCATCCAACGCTTATGGTGGTTACGTTAGATTCACCATTTTTCGTTCTGTTAAAGTTCTTGCAACAGTCCTGGTTTGCTGCCAGCTTGCTTCACAGTTGGCCTGTGCAGTGTAATTGAAAGAATAGCTGTTTCCTTACACCTTGAAATCCTGGGATGCTTCTGAGGCTCCAAACATGGAGAATATTTTTGCCTGAGCAGTTACTTTTATATTGCTAAAACTAAAGAACAAACAACCCAAAACCCTAGGAATCTTTATCCAGAGAACGATGCTTTTATAAAAAGCTTTGTTGCTAATGTTCACGACCTTTTACTATACAGAAGTCTGGATGAAAAGTGCAGATCAAGAGAGCTCATCTATGATGTTTTTGGTGCAAATAACTTTTTAAAGAACACTTAGTTCCCTTACTGGCTCCTGCAGTTCAAATCTTGTTTTATTCTTTGGCAGGTTGTTTTACCGATGCCTTAAAAGTAAGTTAAATGGGAAGAAATGGTGTGGAAACATCCCATGGCAGGTATGAATGTTTCATTTATATTATAGCATCAGCTTATTCCAGTATGACTCTTATTCTGTATACCATAATCAGCTCTGAGATTACGTAGTGGGAGAGTTTTTCTAGGTGAAAATCATATCAACTTGCTGTTCTTAAGATGAGACTTCTTTTACTCCTAAATTGTGTGAAGTAATTGGTGTTCTCCAGTCTTAGAAGAATCTTGGGTTTGATCTCCAACTGTCTTCTTTTCTTGAGCTTGATGCTGCTGTAACTTGATCCCCAAAAACCATGGGAATGGCAAAGAAAGCAGAAAACCAGTAGTTTCATTTTGTTTTCTGTGTAAAATGTTTATACTCGTCCTGTTAAAATGATAGGAAAGATCATTGTAGAGAATGAAGTCTTGCTTGAGATGATCAGGTTGTATATAGTTAGCAGTCTTTAATAACTTGTATGTTTGCACTTGTATATATTGCAGGATCCAAAAGCTACCAAAGTGTCAAAAGCCTTAGAATCCCAGACCAACACAGCATCTCTCTTCAGTACCAGTGGCCAAAGAAATCCATTCAAAGTGACAGACAGAAATTGTGAACCATCATCCTGGAAACAAAATAAGCAAGGAAATGAAGAGGAAAGTAAAGTAAAAGGAGTAAAAGTGGAGAAAGAGAGTGTGTTGGTGTCACATAAAGAAAATAAACTAACCTCCGATTCCTCCAGAGAGAAGGGACCTCTAGAAGGGGTGAAAACCAAAAAGAAGCTGTCTACGGGAAATAGGAGTGGTCCAGAACTGAAGGAAAATTCAGTCTCTGGATCTAAACTTGGTCCTTCTGAGACTTGGAAAGAAAAAAACACCCTTTGGGAGGAAGAGAAATATGGTGGCGGTGGCAGGGAATCTAAGAAGTCTTCTGAGAGTGTGGAGAAAGAACCAGGTGGGAGATCAAAGCTTTACCCACTAAATCCTGGAAAGCAAAGTACAAGTACTGAGATTCCAGAGGAGAAGCAGCTCAGAGATAAAAGCTTGAAACACTGTGTGGATAAAGAAACCAGAGAGAAAGAATACATTAGTGGGAAGAATGTAGAGACAAAAGTGATGTCTAAAACAGATGTGATTTCCCCAGCAGTACCACATTTGGCACTGCAACATACTGCCCTGATGGAAGGAGCGCCACCCAAGACACAGATCAGGCTAGGTTTGGGACAGCCTGCTGATGAAGTCACTGTCAGTGATGCTGATGAAGTAGGATTTGTTTATTCCTCATCAGGTAAAAGTAAACCTGAGAAATCAGTTGAGGGTTTGCAGTCAAGAGAGATTCTTGCAGGAAAATCAGGGAAGAGCATGCAGGGGACGTCTTTGCCAGAAGCTGCAGCATCACATCACGTGGAAGGACCCCAGGACACTAAAGCTCTTCACAACCGTCTTGTAGTCCAGTTGAAGCAGAAGAAGGTCATTTATTGCACTTATTAATCCATTTAAAAAAGTGTTTTTCTTTTTTTTTTTGTTCTGAGTTCAGAGTGACTTCTCTTACTCTTATTCCCTCATAGCAGAAACTCATATTATTTGGGAAGTTTAGGAAGATGGGGCAAGAGGGAATTCAGCCTAGGCACAGGCTAGTTGTTTTAAGTCACATATGAGACAACTAAGTCTAACAGAATCACAGAATATTAGGAGTTGGAAGGGACCTCGAAAGATCATCCAGTCCAACCCCCCTGCCAGAACAGGATCACCTAGACCAGGTCACACAGGAACACATCCAGGCGGGTCTTGAATGTCTCCAGAGAAGGAGTCTCCACAACCTCTCTGGGCAGCCTGGTCCAGTGCTCTGTCACCCTTACAGTGAAAAAGTTTCATGTTCAGATTGAACCTCCTATACTCCAGCTTGCACCCATTGCACCTTGTCCTGTCATTTGCTATCACTGAGAAGAGCCTGGCTCCTTCCTCCTGACACTCACCCTTTACAAATTTATAAACATTAATGAGGTTGCCCCTCAGTCTCCTCCAAGCTAAAGTCTAAGGTAATACAACCTTCTGCCTCTGGGGGTGCTCAGTTTTTACCTGCCTGAGGTTGTGTCTGTCTTTTACCCAGAAAATAATTTGCATAATATGGAACGGTGCACAGCCAGCTTAATCTTTTTAAATAACATGGCTGGTTTTGCTAATCTCTTTTGGCCTTGTGGATTAAGAATGAAGGCTATGAAAACTCCTGCTAAATAAACTACCTGTCTGTTTGCTTTTTAAAATAATTACCAATATTTACATTTCATAGTTTTTATAAAAAACACTGCCTAGGACTCAGAATTGAACCTCAAAATAAACAGTCAGAAATGTTGTTCCTGCTAGCATAGAAAGGAATGTGCAAGTAGGTTGAACTTGGGATGCTTTGAGAGGCGTTAAGATTGTCCATGTCCCTTGATTACCTGTTCATCCTGTTTCATAAAAAGAGGAGGCCTGCATCCTTCCATCTCTTCTAAAGTACACTAATGATTAGTTTATTTTCTGCTAAAAAAGCTACTTAATCACACTGAATGGCACTTAAGTGCTTCTGGAGATTGTAGAACAGTGTCAAAATACAAATTACTATGGCATAAGATTAGTGTTGTTAAACTTCTGCCTTGTTTGTTCTCAGTTGGAAGAGCATGTGGTAAGCACACTCAGGTTTTGGATTCTTTTTTGTTTTGCAGAGTACATTGGCTACAGTGAACATTCAGCTGCTGCCAGATAAAGGGGAACGGTTACTAAAGCAAGTGCAGGATTTGGAAGCTGCACTCAGTGCTCTTAACATTTCAACAACAGACACTACTGAAAAAGGTAGGGCTGTTTTTTGTGGGTTTGTTTTTTGTTTATTTTTTTCTCCCAGAACTTTGCATAACAGTTTGTCTTACTGTTGTTAATATTCAGGAAAAATACCATAAACTTAGATATGTCATGTGGCCTATATAAAGTTTGTCAGTTGAGATTCACTGAAGGTGACAAGTATTATTTTCCAAAGTGTGCGCCTGGGAAAGGATGAATGGGATAACTCAAATGAAGTGTGATGGCTCCCCAAGTGCGTTTCCTCCCACGGTTAGGATCCAAGGCTAGTTCTGTTTGAGCTTTGGTTGCAGTTTGAGGCAAGTGTCTCTAGGAACTTGCCAGTAAAGCGCTAAATTCCTCTTTGTTGCAGCATGGAACTGTGCTGCTTATGCACGTTTTGGCTGCTGTGTCTGAATGGTCAAGCTACCAGATACAAGATAAGCAGTTTCCATTGTGTCAATCCTGTAAAGTCATGTCCTAATTCTGTTAACGAGAATTCACAGAATCACAGAATCACAGAACG